AGCTGGTCAGCAAGGATGTTCTGGGTTACAAATGCCTCTGCATTCTGTGCAGCTCTGAGGAGACTGGGAAAGGAGCATCCTGCGACAATCACAGAGCCACTGCATCTTCCTCTGTGGGGCAGATAACTTCTGCAGCAGACCCACATGCAGAGTGTACCAAAGGGATTTTTTTTTAAAACAGATCTCTCATTCCTCCATGTATCCTAGCAACACCTCTCTGAGGTTAGAGATGTGATTCCTTGTCCACCTGTTGCATAGGAAGCCTGAGGCAAGTTACATACTGTTTCTTCAGCTCCACAAGAAGGACATGGAGCTGTTGGAGAGTCCAGAGGAGGGCCACAAAGAAAATTAGAGGGCTGGAGCACCTCTGCTATGAAGACAGGTAGAGAGAGTGGGGGTTTTTCAGCCTGGAGAAGAGAAGGCTCTGGGGAGAACATATAGCAGCCTTCCGGTACCTGAAGGAACTATAGGAGCAACCTGATCTAGTGGGAGGTGTCCTGCCCATGCAGGGGGGTTGGCACTATATGATTTTTAAGATCTCTTCCAACACAAACCATTCCATGATACTTGCCAGCTTGCCCTACTAGTATGAAGCTGCAGCAATTAAGCAATTAATGTCACAACCAACATACCCCAGTCTCCCCAGCTCAAGCCAGATGTCACACAGAGGTGTTCCCATCTCTGAACACTGGGAGCTCATCAGTGGCTCATGCAGTGTGCTTGTGGTCTAAAGAACTGTATTGCTGACATGGGCTGAGGGCTTTGTGATCAAGGCAATAAAAGGGAGTGGCCTTAATCCCTGCCACAAAAATGCTTTATGTGCAGTCACACAGTGCTGAAGGAGCTCAGGACCTGAATGGGTATCTAAATAAGACTTCCCAAAACACTATAGGTCCAAAATGTGCACAGCTAACAAAACTGAAATAAAGTTCCACTCCTCCCATGCCCCTCCCTCCTATCAGATCAAACTGCAATAGAATTCTAGTAAACGGTCTGTTAAAAAAAAACCAGCAAAAAAACCCCAAACAAACAAAAAACCAAAACAAGAAACTATTTGAAAAGCAACTTTTTTTTCCTAATAGTTATCATTATTCTTCTCCCTCCCCTAAAGCACCCCTTAGCATTTTCTGTTTCTTGTGGGGGGAAAAAAAGAAAATGAAAAGGTTATAGAATGATCATAGAACTTTAACTTTTTTTTTTATATATATATAGAATTATTAACAACAGATTAATCAAAAAGTAAAAAATTAAAACTTATCACAAAAGTCTGTGGCAGGGTGTATGTGCAACAGATCACTTTCTACACCCAGTGAAGATGGTTCTTCCCCTATGATTTTCCTGCCCATCAAATTAGATTTTATTTCTTTGGCCATTGCTGACCAAGTCCTTTCAGCTACAATATGCATGTCACAAAAACCTCAGTTATCTTAATT